TACCGATAGTAGGTCTAATGCGGGTGATCCGTGTAAAATTTCTTGTTATATAAAGAAAAACATATTTATAAAACAAGAATGTGCTGATGATGGTATCGTTAATACTGTAGACATAAAAAGATGGTAATGAAAGCTGAGCAAATGTAAGCAATTTGCATTTCTTTATCCTCGAGGACAACAGCCACTATCACACCAACCCGCTATGGATAATAAGGCAGTTTGCAAGGATAAGTGATGATCGCCATCTGTGACAGGAGTAAATTAGTCATCTGTGAAAAGTCAGATAGTGGACGCAACACGAAAAGGATGATAATTGATACAGATTAGGAAAAGAAGCGGTCTGAGCATGTTTTCTAAAGGAATGCCCAATGTTAAGTTGGACTTGGATCACATGAAGTTATTTATAACAGTGCATTGAACTTGATTGGAAAAAAAGTCAGTCAGATTTAGGGGTTTTACGTGCCAAACCTACGACGGGCATCTGGCACGCCCCAGCGGAGGACTGAGGATTAATTTTGACCGCCTGGGGATCTTTTGACGTGCAACCGAAAGCTCGGTTACACGACGCCTTCTCCGCAATAAGCCTCCGTCATATTGTGGGGGCACCTCGGTCGGGATTCGAACCGGCCACCTGGGGATCTGTAGGCCGGCGCTGTCGTCTCAGAGCCACCGAGGCGGCTAACTTGATTGGAAACAAATTAGAAAATCCAGGCAACAATAAAGGGATCAATTGTGACATTGCACGATAAGGTGGTTATGAGACAAGACACCCTGTCAAATGCTTTTGAGAAGTCTAGGAATATACAGTGGTGAAACTGACAAGAGGTGATTTGGAGCAGCTCTTGTAACAGGAAAAAATCGGTTTTGGAGCAGACAATTTTGAGCTTTCATGTCAGAAAGTTTTATACAATCTCTTCGAAAGTTAGTCCATAGAAAAGACTGTAGCTGTTGGAGCATTGGGAGACTGAAGTGTTATGCCCAAAGAGGACCTGGCCTGTACAGATATTTATTTATTTATTTATTGAACAGCCATACGCCAGCAATTTTGTAGAAGTCTCAATTAACCTATTATTAGTACCGATGGCATCTTCAGTCTGTGTTTAACGTAAAAAGATATTTTCGGCTACTTTGTAGCGGGTTTTATTACAGTGACGTAATTGTCACAAATTTAACATCAAACGGACACTTATGGTTGAAAGTGCCTCACATTGCCCTCCCTCGTATTCAACTTGCTGCTGTTCATAGAACAGCTAAGCGGAGCACATAGCTACTCTAACCGATCACGAGTAGCGGTAGCTATTCATTGCGATCGATGTGAGCACCGTTCGCAAAAAAAAAGAAAAAGACGACAACTCTTCATTTGGCATGAGCAAAAATAGATGTTGGGTTTCAAGCAAATTCAAAGTGAATAGTAATAGTTCTTTCGGTCGAATATTTTTTAATTGAATATTGAAGACTTTTTGCACCATTCTCTATGCCTTTTACTACTGTTCCACCATGCTTAAACAAAAATTCAGCTGGACTCACGAAGGTTGTTCCTAATTGCCCACTTATGAGTAGTTAAATTTAATCTAGCTATATTTATAGACTGTAGCCTCAGAACGTCCAGTACCTACAGTGGGATGGCAAGTAAATGACAAATTTGACATAAAATTAAGCCTATAAAGGAGCCTAGCCATACATAATAGAGGGGATTTTAAAAATTTTGTGCCTATATAAAAATATTTTTGTTGATTCTGAATTTAAAAAAAGCACAAACAATAAACAGAGGTTTTTTGAACATTGCTGCCTACAGCCTGTTGTAACTCAAGAAGGTAGGGTGAGGGTACGACGGGCCAGGAAAGAGGAAGCAGATGGAATGCTGGAGAAGAGAGGGGGAAATCTCTCTTAAGGGGAGACACTCACCAGAAAAAAAACTTTCTGCAAAAAAAGTTGATTTTGAAAAATGACATATTTACATCCACCAACATCTAGAGAGTATTCCCAAAAAGTTTGATTAATTTTCACTGTATAGTTCATTTTTTATAAATTATTTTCTGTCCACCAAAGCTAAAGAAAAGTAGGGTTTGGAGCACTTTGAACGCATTTTTCTCTGTTCCACTTTTTGGTATAAATTCCATTTTAGTCAATCTATCGTTTTATAATGGCAAAACAGAGAAAGCTCATTTTTCCCTTTTCCTGACTGAAATTTAATAAGGAGTGCGGCTATGTAACTTTTTTGTCAATTTACGGATGTCTTTTATAAAAAATGTTGACATTTTGTCAAAGACACGGAAGCCCAAAAAGTTTACCAATTTTGCAGAAGAGAAAATTTATAGAAATAAATTATTTTTTAGAAAAAAACATTCCATAGCCGCACCCTCTAGGCATCCTGCTACAAATCTAGCAAATAAAAATCTTGAATATCGCAATAGTTTTCTGACGATAGATTAACTAAACAATGTAGGAGTGTTGCTGATAGAAGCTACTCTAATTTCCTTCTCATTTAACCGACAGACCTGAAATTTGGTTACGCACCCTCTAGCATGACTACCAGCCTACCCTGTAAATTTCATTAATTTTAAGACAAGGGTTCAAAAGTTGACCCCTCTAGGGGGTGTGTCCCCTTAAGTGTTCCGTCTGCTTCCTCTGCCCCGGCCCGTCTTACCTTCACCCTACCTCCTTGACTTGCAACGGACTCTAACATATACCCTTGAATAATAGTCACAGTTAAATTTTGAAGATTTTACTGCAATGTAATATTAACGATCCCAAAACTTTTGTTTTTTTTTGTTTTGTTTTTTTCTTTTAATATACATTAGGCCTGCGCGTGCACCATACTAGTTTGAAGATGTGCTTTTCGCATAAGCGCGCGAATGAGCTGCGGCGAAGCGGGTAGCGAGATCACTGTGTCAGCTTCATGGGTATTGCTTCTCCGCAGTGCAACTGTGTTTGAGGAGAAGCGCACTCAAGGGGGCTAACCCACCGCAATCAACACTTCGAAATGTATGAATATTGCAGTTAATTTTTTAAGCGAATATCACCATATTATTTCAAACTACTATTAGAAAATTAAAATATTCGCGTAGCTCTATTCTTCGCACATACTACTTAGGCATCAAGAAAAAAAAACTACTTTCTTAACTTTCAGTGGCATCGCTTGTCCCGTGCCAGACACTTTCAGTTTCCTTTTCGAGAACTGCTCCCTTTCGGCGCAGACATGACGCAAATTGCGCGCAAATACAGCCCTTAGAGCAGCATGTAGCAGGTTATTCATTCTGGCACAGTTTGGCGCAATTAGCGCAGCAGTTTTACCACTGAATATAGCAACGGTTTGTTGTTTACGTTGCAAATTTAATTGAATGTCATGTATAAATCACAAAAGTTGTATTTTGCATGATAATGTCTTTCTAAATCTGTGCTTATTTTTGTTTAGGAGCATATTAGGCTCAGTGTATCTAATGATGTTTGAAGATATCATGCTGAGTGATATAGAACAATAGTGAGGTGAATTTCTATCTCCGAACCTATGTACCTACTTTTTGTATAACATGTATTAAGTTATGTTAATCGTTTAGTTAACACGTTTTCTGTATACATTTATTACCCTCATTGTTTTCCTGCATCTCCGTCACCATCTGCCAAGCTCTCGGGGCCCGGACCTAGTAAGCCAACAAAGATTGGCTTTTTTGTCCGTGGTTTCGACATCTGTACTTGCAGATGCAATAAATGATTTGATTTAATGTACAGGGATTACATGGCTGATTTTTAAAAAGGCCCTGCAAGGACTTTTGTACTGGTTTTTAATTTGCACCGAACCTGAGTGCACTGAATGTCGTATCTTAATGAAACTGTTCTTTTCACGAATTTTACTTTATTTTAAAAGATATAGGCAAATTAAAAATACAAAAACAAGCACAAAAACCCTCTTTCATGACGTCCTCGTCGCTTGAGTGGTCGTGAACTAGAGCAGGATTAGTGAGCTCAACAAGCACACACGGCTGCCGCACTGCGTGTCGATGGCTCGAGAGGGCGCCACTAAAGCATGTTCCGGCTAGGCTGTATGAAGCGGGCGGCCAGGGTGGCTCGCACTGCACTTGCTGCACGATTAAACACTGATTCGGCATGACACTTCATTGGCCACCAACGATAGCAAACACGAGTTAAAAATCAGTTCAGAAAGGCAGCCACTTCGCGCTACCATACCACCAAACGGCCAAATCGCAAGCCAAATCTGCTCGCCAAAGGCCTTCGAAACGCTCGGAACCAGTCGGATCCTCGAACCGTATACGACCGCAGCGCCGCCACGTACATCGGAGACCTTTCTACACTCGCCGCTCATCGGTGCCTGACCCCACTACCCCTCTAGTATGCGCCGCCTTTTCCACCGATTGGTGGTGGATATGTCGACGAGTCATTTCTTGTTTCCGTCTTTATAAACTGCATTTGTTTATTTTCTGATCTAAAATACTGAACAAAAAGTACTTTCATAAATATCTGAAACGGTTCGCGCCACTTATATTTTGTATTTCGACTAAAAAGAAGCTTTTAGCGGGTCTGACCAGTAGACTACACAAATTGCGCGCTTTCGGCACCGCAGGTCGCCCCCGTAGGTGGAGGAGGTTTCCACATCGTCCGGTTAAAATATAACGCACTGGTATTTAGTTACTCTCTCCGTGCCCGCTGCCTCGCCCGAACCCCAATAGATTTGGAAATCGCAAAGAAGGTAGACGCTTAAATATGATTGCAGGGCCCCTTTAAGTCAAGAGGTATGCTACCAGAGGAGTGATTCTCGATAGATGTCAGTTAGAACCAGAAATTCTATATGGCTTGGTGTTTTCCATGACTGCAATTTTATGTGGTTGCCACCAGAACTTGTGGAAAGTTCCAGATCTTCAATGGCTAAGGATGTATATCTAACAATTATATTCTGCAGATATTAAACAGGGAATCGCCATTATTACACAAATAATTACAATGCTCCAAGAAGTAATTCCACTAAAGAATAAAACTGAACATACCAACAGCCTCCTGTCAGCAGCTTCCATGAGTCTTGGTAGTTTCAAACTGCAACATGTCCTCTAGAAGTGGAGCATAAATGGCTCTGGTCTGTGCCTGGTCTGGTGCTCTAGCTGTCTGAGGGCCATGAGTCCACAGTCACTTGAGCCTTGGTTTCACCCCTCTATTCTTTTACACGGGCCACAAGCTGTAGTACCAGGCTTGCAGTAGAAAAGAAACTGAAGGTGTTAAAGATGCACTGCTGAAAAGACAAGGCACAAAAAAAAACATTAACTACTTAGCTTGAAAGGTGCTAAAAAAGAAAATCATACAGATTTAATTAGAACAAAACTTTGAAGATTCATCTCAACCACCCAGGTATTGTGAACCTAGACTGATCTTGCAGCACAATAAGCCTCAGTCAAATTGCAGGAACCTCAGTCTGGTTTACAACCTAATAACTCGGCATCTTGCCTCAAAGCCAACTTTCAATTAACAGCTAATACATTAAACTCTGAAGATACAGCACCAATAAGAGATGAGCATGGTCATGACAGCCTGCTTGACTTACAGTGTCAAGTTAAGGGTTAATCAATGAAACTATTCTCCTATGCCCTTGAAAACTGTGGTCGAGACAAACGTTACAACCAAAAAGATACTTCAAGTAGCTGTCAGCATGCGCTGGACAAGCAGAAGTGTCAAGGGAAGGTTGAAAGGGCCACAGGAAAGCACTGGCTTCCCAAACCTTAGATCCGCCACCCGAAAAACACCCTACTTTCACAGGGAGGAGGGAGCTAGCCTTGTGGCTACAATTTCAGCTATCTGCTCACGTGATAGGGACAGTATACCCAACCTCAACATCAGATTGGACATAGACTGAAGGTTCAGTTGACCGACTGCTTACAAAGCAAATTGCACGGACCAGAGGAGCCTGCTTTAGTATGTTGGTCAGCGACTGTGTGCTGAAAAATTAACAAATAGGGAAGGGTCATGCTAATGCAGTGCTTATATCTGTAGTGAGTTTGAAAGAAAAAGATTATGCACGTAAAATGCTTTCAACAGGCTTGTGAATGTGCATTAAAAATTTGCATAAAGATGTTGGCCTGAACTAGGTTTCGGTCGGTGCTGCTTCGATTGCTCACAACTGATCTCATTCCAGGGGTAGTGATTAACAGAAATAAAACAGGCACAAAGGCTGTTTCACATACTTGTGACTGCTTCTGGCTGGAGAGGTTAAAAGACTGGCTTTAAACCTCTATAAATGGTTATGACTGCCGTGCCGGTTGTAGGCAGTTGCAAGTGTGTGAACCATGCCTGCTTTCTTCTGCAGTAATACACTGCACAAGGAAACTTATTGTATGTTTCTATAGTTGCAACACAAGAATGCGGTGAGACTGGAGTATTCAAGTTTTAGTGCGGTGAATCACAGTTTGCTCTTCTATTTAGGCCTGCAAGAATGATGTCCTGGGAATAATAACAACATCAAGCCTATACAAACAAAAACACCTACCTGCTTCCAATCATACTTTGAAAAGACCTTGTTTTTTAAGGCATGGCCAATAAAAGAAAAAGCTGATGGCCATAGAGAATCTTCTGTCACAGGAATAACACTACATACTGCCATATATGTCAGGATAGACCATATCCCAAATTAATCATGCACAAAAGAGAATGCTGAGAATGTATGAACATACACTGCATGTGCTGGTGTCTGCAAGCGAATCTGTTCAAAGGTAAAAATCTAAAATAAATAGCACATTGCACACACATTCCTCGAAACCCTATTTTGGTTTTTTGCCTCGAATCCTTTATGCAGAGAAGGCAAGCGTGTGCAGCATGTGTACCTACGTTTCCAGCATTCCTCTTCGTGCTTGGGTAATTAGCAAAAAGTCTATTGCTGAAGTTGTGTCAAATGTGTGTCCAAGCAACACACTGTGGTCGTTGCAGACATCGTGGTTGCAACGGATGCTGTCAAAGCTACAGCTCCTGATGCAAATTTCTGAAAGGGCCATTAGAGGCAAGCACACATGTCAAAAAGTCGGTGAGAGGGGCAACTTACCGGTGAAATTCCGCTGCCTCAAAGAATCATGACCACCTGTGACATCTTTGGGCGATAGTAGCTCCTGTGGTGCTATTAGAAAATAAGATGGATTGTTAGGTACAAATCTTCTAATACTCAGAATTTAAAAAATAACTATCAATTGAGTACAGAACCCTCAGATGCGTCTGCTATATAAATGCTTGTGCAGCGAGAGCACATTCGAAAAATGCGACCTCCTGCTGAAAATAACAATGTATGTATGCTTTACATGCAGCATTTCTTTGCAGAGCTGGTGGTTGCATATTATCACTGTTCTCGAACTTCCACTTCTATGGTGCACAACCACGTGTTCTATGTTGAAATAGAACACAGGGCTCTCAAACCAATAAGTGTTTTCACGACAATGTCATACCTACAAGTGTTCATTCTGTTGTTTGTTTGTTTTTTCCTGTTTTTATCTCTGAGACATATGATAGTTATCTCTTCGCTGTTTTTGTAGCTCGCTTTGTCAAGAAGATGAAAGAGAATACCTTGTCAAGCAAACAACTGTTGGCTTTTTGTCTGCCTCCCAGCATTTGTACTTGTACAGGTGCAAATAAATTGATTAATTGATTGATTGAACTAACACAAAACGTACGTGCAACAATCTAATTCATTCCCTATAATCAAACAACAGAATTCACGTTTAAAAACAATATAGGTGCCTTCACTAAGGGAAGAGAAAGGTAAAATGTAGGCTTCGAAAAGCAAACATATTGTAGCCAATGGTGTCATGTCACTTGACACTCAGCAGACTACTTCCCGCTGCATATGCTTGCTGTTGGCATAGGCACATAGCCCCCTGCTTCTCTCATTCACTGTCCTCTCCCCCTCCCTCTTTGTGTCACGCCCTCATGGAGCTTTGGGAAGCAACTTGAAGCCAATATATATTTTGTTGCAAGTTAAAAGCCTGGGTCATCTGTATTATATTTTATGTCCCTCTTTTCTTGCCCAGTTTTGTCGCTAGACTGGCCACGCGACAATCAAATGCAGGCACACTTACTGCTCCCTCTCTTAAATCTAGGCTCTCTCCATCATCTCCGCCGGCATGTTGTCGTTAGCGCTCCGAACGCCTCTATCGGCATGCCACAACGGCTTCTCCGCGTGCAATGCGGTAAAGCTGCTTCCCAGATAAGGAGCGGAGAGCAGACGACGGCCTTTCCCGCACCTTCTACTGCCTGTTTTGGGTGCCTTCTTGGTCGTGACAGTAAGGTGCGGCGGTCTGAGACTTAGGGCCAGTTGCACCAATGCAGCTTAACACAAATCAGAGCTTAGCAGGGAACCTAAGCCGAGTTTTGGTTTTGTTCTGTTGCACCAAAATCACTTATCGCTAAACCTAGCACTAAACCATGCCTATCGTGAGCGCTCAACATCGGGTACTTTACTTGGTCGTTTCTTAGTCCTGGATTTAAAACATGCCGGCTGGTTTGTGGCGGTCTACACGGTGGACGAAATTGGTTGTACAAAGTGTTTTAGGCTACAGCAGCGTGAGAGCCTCAACAGAATGACCTTCGATTGCGACAGATGCAAAATATTATGTGAAGTGTTTATCGACCCGTTTTCAAGTTGACTTTCCAGTCTCAGTGTGTGTTAGCCCTAACCAGGGAAGGTATGCAGATGTGGGGCTCACGCATGGCTCACATCCATCTTCCCATTGGTTTTTATTTCAGCGTGCTTATTCGTATGCAGTTATTTGCGCATATCTGTAACGTATTGCTATTTACAACCTTGTTTATCTTAGAGCGCAGCTCTTAGGCACCCGTTTCCGGCTTGAGTGGAGTCGGCGTAACCGCACGGTGCATTATGGAGCACTACCCATGATGCAATGCGCAGGGAGGAGAATGAGGGGGAGGGAAGGAAGGAGGAGGAGGGGGAAGAGAAGGAAGGAGGGGAGGAGAGAGGAGCTTGAAGGATGAGGTGAGGGGGAGGTGAAAGAGGATGAGGAGGAGGGGAGGAGTAGCAGGGAGGATGAGTGGGTGAGGAGGAGCAGGGAGAGGGGGTATACCCTCCCCTCAGTACCCTTCCCTCGTCTTCTTTAAGAGCTGTGCTCTAATTCGGCGTTACAGGGTGTTGTAAACGTCAGATTTTTACTTTCAACGCATTTCCTTTTTTCCAATCAGCGCGTTGAATAGCGGAAGTGCACGATCTCGGCGATCAGCCGATTGTAGCCCCATTCTTCCGTTCTCATTAAATTGCGGTGAACAACGCATTTAGACAATAATGCAACGAAAAGGCTTTTTTTTTTTTTTAGTGTTGGGACAATTTTTAAGAGAAGTTTCTTTGTCTCCCGAGTAAAATCTTAGCTTCGGAAAACTGTGTCGTTCTACAGTCGAAACTTATCTGGTGACCGCACTTTGTAGCGGCAACAAGAAATCCTAACGACTAAGATGCGAGATTTGCTCAGCACTGTATTAGGGCAGGCTGTGGCGGGTGGTGCGAAGAGATGACTGTTCTCATAGACACAATGTGATGACCTAGTATGAGTTTTCATACTTCAAAGACCGCCACCGCCTTACGTTCAACTAGGGAGACAGGCAGTGTACTGTGCCACAGCTCACACGCCATGCCCCTCTGGGTACAGATGTTACAACATGTTCTGCAATACCGTAGAAGCTAATAATCGTTCAGTAATTGTATTTGCACTTCGATATATTTAAATTGTTGTCAAAATTGAATACAATATTTACTTTTATTTTTGGGGTGCACTTTGTTGCAATGCACATAAGTTGTGTGGTGAAGTAGGCATCATGAAAATACCCAGTATTTCTGTTTTCTGGCTGCACTTGGAAATTTTTTATACAAACATGTATGGTTAAATTATCCTTGGCAAGCAACTGGACCCCAGCCCTAGACTCAAGCCTTGCTTATTCGAGCATCTGCTCATCTAATTTCTTAAGGAAATAATTCAGGTACTAACAAAAACATGAAATGCTTATGAAGGCTGATCGGGAATCTGAATGGTTTATTTTGGAAAATCATGTAGGTCATAAATGACCTAAGCTTAATGTGATAATCCTAGTGTTGGTTTTCATGATTGAGATCTGAGGCAGAGCAGGTGAAATAGAAAAGAAACTTTGTACAATGTCTAGGTCTAAGGCACAGCTTGTATTTGTTTGCTAAAAGACAGAACTAACAGACACTTAGAAAAACCCTCAACACCTAGGCATAGAAATTAGAACAGCATAATAGAACCAGAGGAATGAAATGCACGACTGCCACAGAAAGATGGAACTTTACCAATCTGGGGAAACTTTACGTAACACTGACTATTTAAAATAAGTGAGAAACCAGACCGTAATGAAGCTTGCTTTTTGAACTAACCTAAAATTAACTATCTTCAATTTTATGAGCTAACAGAATAATGACTGATGCAGCACAAAGAAAGTCAGAAGGTCAAGTTACAAGGTTACATGTAAAGACCCCAAGTTAGCAGTCATGCTGCATATGGTAAGTTTTCTTTCTGCAGTGGAGACACAAACAGTCTAATTTCATAGCTGACTGATTCATCACTCTCTGAAGGCTAACAACCCATTTAATTTTGACTTTTATGACCATAATAAGGTCAAAGTAGAAAAGTTTTAACCTACACAAAGATATACCAGGTGTTTCTTTCAAAACAGATTTGTTTAAAAAGCCGTGAAAGTTACACTAATGCGGTTTGTGCAGATGAGTTATACAGCCAGGGGGATAGAGTATTGGGGCTAATTGTAACGATCAGTCAGCTAATTATTTAAAATTCATTAATTAACTTTTTAAATAATTAAAAATCGACACATAGTTCCAATTAGAAACTTGCAAAGCGCCATTGAAAACCACTAAATCAACTCTCTTTAGAACATAAAGCATGGGCAGCATTTTACATCGTTCTAATGAAGCGCTCAATTTGGATGTGTTTCTAGGTTTCGCTTACTTATCCGAGCACATCTCTGCGCCCGCAATCCTGTCCCCTCCCCCTCCCCCTCCCCTCCCTCCCTCCCTCCCTCCCTCCCTCCCTCCCTCCCTCCCTCCTCCTCCTCCTCCTCCTCCTCCTCCTCTTCCCCCGGTAGTCGCGGCGCAAAGCCACTCCCTCGCTTACCTTGTAGCATAGAGGGAAGTTGGGCGCAACTGTGTTGCACGTCTCAGCCACTGTCGAGCAGGACCGTGGGCGCAGAGATGCACTGCAATAACAAATCGAAACCTAGAAACGCGTCCAAATTGAGCGTTTTCATGGAACGCTGTAATATACAGCCCCTGCGTTATATCTTTTGAAAAAGAGTTGATATAGTGGCCTTAGGTGACGCTGAACAAGTTTCTAATTGGAACCACATGTCTATTTTCCTTTATTAAAAAGTTAACAAATTTTACTTAATTAGCCAACTGATCGTTACAATTAGCCCCCTATATTATGTTCCCTTGGCTGTATACCTCTCCTGCGCAAAACCGCTTTAATGTAACTTTCATTTTTTAAAACAAAGCCACAAAGAGTGTCTTGGTGTAAATGCTATATGTATTCCGTTACTAAGATTGGCTCATGAAGTAAACTAAACAATGAATAAGTATGGTTGGAGCCAGAATGCAGACGTTACGAAGGATCCATGTCGTACGAGGGTGATTAAAAACTTATTTCACTTTGGTCAACTTACACCTTCTGTTGGCTGCACTGTCTTATCGGCACTTTTCATACAAGGTTGCTGTATCTCCAGTCACTGCTGTGCAGGCTTGAATCTGTTAAATCAGTTCAGTTGGGACTGAGGTGCTAGGAAGAATGGCTGTCCCATGCTTAATTTGTACAAGTGAATCAGTCATCGTTCTCGTGATATGAAGGGGTGTCCAGTAATTCCATATATATGAATATACCGATATACATAAAAAAAACTTTGTGCACAGTATTATAGAAATGTAAATGTTTTCTCGCAAAGAAATGCGTTTGAATGGATACAGTTCTATGAAGAATGCACGAGTGGCAGTCATAAAGGAGCCAATGCCCAACCATTTCGACGACTGAGAAGGACGTTGAGACACTTCCGCGAGAGGTGTTGAGACACTTCTGCAAGGCGATGGGGGATCTCCAAAGGAAACTCAAATGCTGAAGATAATCAGAGTATTGTCATCGTCCCCATATCATAGTCAATCATTGGTCTTGAATGGTGCTATTATATTCGAGTTCTCTATTTTGTGACCACACTTGCCTCCAGATGGCTCCAACGTACTGAGAACTACCCCGGGATAGTCATCGGCCTCCGATTGAAGTCAATAATTGGTCTTGAATGGTGCTATGACAACAAAGTTTCCTTTCTGGTGAGCCAACTTGCCTCCAGACATCTCTGCAATGATGAAAACTACCTCGGAATGGTCGTAGTCCTCCTATTGTAGCCAATAATTGGTCTTAGACGGTGCTATGGCAACGAAGTTTCCTTTCCGGTGAGCCAACCTGCCTCCAGATGTCTCTGAAATGATGAAAACTACCTCGGAATGGTCGTCGTCCTTCAATTGTAGACAATAATTGATCTTAGATGGTGCTATGACAACAAAGTTCCCTTTCCGGTGAGCCAACCTGCCTCCAGACGTCTCTAAAATGATGAAAACTACCTCGGAATGGTCGTCGTCCTCCAATTGTAGCCAATAATTGGTCTTGAACGGTGCTATGACAACGAATTTTGCTATCTGGTGAGCCAACTTGCCTCCAGACGTCTCTAAAGTGCTGAAAACTACCACTGGATGGTCGCTGTCCCTAAAGTGTAAACTGAACTTTGAAAAAAAAAAATGTGGTCGTTAAAATTTTTAAAAATCATTTGACAATTTTGTAATCCTGACATGTTGCAAAGGGACAGATGCTTAAGGAACTATATCATGTAAAATTTACTGAAAGGACAGATATAAGGGCACTGCCATTCTGATTTCAAATGCAGCACTGATAATAGGCACATTCAAGTCCCACTAAGTTTGTGCTTAGGTCTTGCACTTAGGTGTTTGCTGCTCCAAAACAGTGTTTTGGAGCAGCAAATGTGGCCTTTGGAGCGGCCAAGATAGTGTGTTTTGGAGCAGCAAAAGTGGCTTTTGGAGCAGCGAAAACAGTGTTTCGGAGCAGAAAAAGTGACTTTTGGAGCACACATTCTTAGAAAAATAAATATTTGTTTTAAATGCTGGACAAACGAAGGGCACTTTGTGTTGTGTTGTGATACGACGTGTTTGGGCGGAATTCGCTGCTTGTGTTTTTGCTGCTGAGACATCCCACAAGTATACAGTGCTGTAAGCGTTGCCAAGCAATTCTGAAAAAAAAAACAAACAAAAAAAACACTTGCTTTCGTTTTACTGGTTTTCAACGTGGCAGATCTTCATAAAAAGTAAGCAAACGCAAGACATTAGATTGCAAGCGTCCTGGATGGTGCCTCTCGTGCAATCATGTTCACATGCACGTGAGGGCAACTTCGGCAGGCTTGCACCTAGACGTGCTTCGTCGCATGAGCAGAGACAACGGCTGTTCGACCGAAACCGAAACCATGCCACTCCGCTTTGTCGCCAACTGGTTCCCAAAATAATATACATGTACAAAATGTAACTGTTCAGCATACGACAAACAGTCCAGCGGTGCGTGCTTGCCAGGCCGGTGGGCGAGGTACAAGCTAAACACACAAAAAAAAAGGACCTGAGCGTATCGATGCAAGACATTGCGAGCCAGGGTCAAGAAGTTTTTGGAGCGCTTTGTGCAACGACTGAACTCGAGACAAACAACCGTGCTGTGCAGGTTCAGCGTGCAGGCATTGCCTTCTTTGCTTTAGGTCACTTCTCATCATCAACATTCTTTCGCGGCAGATTTTTCACGTACCGGGGTCCCTCTCGGGAGAAAGCCCACCGAGAGAAACCTAGGTAATTATTATTTCGACACAGCAGTCATTGAGTTAAAGAGGGATTTTTATAACAGCGTATGATTTAAACAAGAGCAGGAATGTCGATGCGTTTCAGTTTAGAAAGCATTATATCTGCAGCAAAGTGGGGACGGCAACACACGACGTCGCGCGACGAGAGTTACTTTGTGAGCTTGGTGAGCACAAAGTAACTCTTGCCACGTAAAAACGTGGTTTTGTTTCACAGCATGACGGCAAGTCTGGAACCCGACACACTAACGTCGGAGTGTCCGCGCACACGGCCGCGTCTATCACTAAAATATTAAAAAAAAGAAAAAAAGACGCGAGATGAGATTCCCGAGACGACGAGAGTGCGAAACGCGAGACGGCGGGAAAAATCATGCAAGACTGCATAGATGATTGATGCAGGGTACTTTGCGTCGGGCAGCGTCTTGTGCCACCTAGCCAACGCATGCTCAATTACGGTTCTCAGTTTAGTTTCGTTTTTGAAAGGCGACCAAGATTGGTCCTTTTGCGCAGGTTTGGCACAGATTAGCCATATTCAGGGGTGGAAGCGGGCTAGAGCCTTTTGTAGCAGGGCTGGGAGCAGCAAAAGTCCCAATTTGGAGCAGTAAAACGCTCGCTTTAGAGCAGCTCGGGAGCAGCAAAAATAAGTTTTGTAGCCGTAGAAGTAGGTTTTGGAGCAGGTCACGGAGGTCAAACAGGTGACTAAAAGTGATTTGTTGTTGCTAAATGTGAAAAGGAAGCAAAAATATATGCATGCACATCCCAGAATAATTTTCAAGCAACATACATACACATTTTTCTATTTCTATTGCATTGAAATATGGAATATTGGCAATTTATGCAAAGGAAAGGCTTTGAGAACCATTCCGGCAGCAGGCAGAGTCATGATAGACTTTATATGGGAGGCCCCGACAATAAAAGCCTAACTTGAGCCACGCCAGTACAAAACCGTCTACTTAATAGACCAATTGTAAACATGTATCCAGAAAACTAAACCACTGCAAGGTGTCAGATAAACTACCTTCGCTGACTACAGCTTTTGTTTAATAAAGAATACACATGTTCAATCACTACTTAAAAAGCCCTCCCTATTGGAAAACCCCAATATAAACAGCGTATTATGGATATTGGTAAACAATATCTTTTTATTGTATTGCAATACAATATAGACAGTGTATTGGAAAACATTACATTTATTGTATTGTATTACAATAAGGATTTGTTATGGGATTCCAATATCCATAATACGCTGAAAATATTGGAATCCAATACCGTATAAACCCTTATTGGAACCCCATGTGTCGTATGGGGATCCAATAAGGGTTTACGATTCCAATATACTCAGCGTATTATGGATATTGGAATCCAATATATTATATCGGCTACCAATAAAACTATATGCGAGTTGGAATATCACGTTCAGCACGACATTTCTTTGCAACGCAGTCTCTTCTTGTGTGTATTTCTGAGTGATAAAAGAAAAAGTGTTGTTGTTGTCAAATGATGAATAAAGAAGCAAAACACTGGGCTTATCCATACCAAATATATTTAACATATTCCTGAACTGGAGGATCTGGCATTTACTGCAAAAGAAAGTTAATTGTTTAGGACCCTCATTCAAAAACTTGCTGTTTGAAAACAGAATGTGAAATCCTCACCTTTTAATGAAAGCAGCACCTGCTAGCTGTAGCCATATAGAAACTGCAAAATAAAAATTTGTGATTAGTTCGCAACAAGTAGCAATCCTTCACTAAGCTGGATAGATTCAAAATTATGTCTGCGTTTGATTGTGAAAAAATAAGCTTCCATTCCACTGCCACGGATCATTCTGAGCTCCGTCAATTAAATAAACCTATCGGCTCGTCTGGCTTTACAGTTCCTGCTTTGCACCTAACCACGGTGAAAGATACACTCTTTAGGTGAGGACACGCCGGGGCTGAACGCGCGGCACGAGGAATCAAATAGTGTTCGTTCGACGGGCATCCGAAAGACTGCATCATTCGACTGCCACCGTGCCCGCGACTGCCAGTGTCACCGGCGGCCAAACGGCGAAACTGTGTGACAGCAAAAAATCATTATCTCGTTGTCATGACACCCCGGTACACCATGGTCTTTCTGCACGTGTGACAACCTCGCTGGAGCTCTGCGCGTGTGGTACATAAGGCGGCATGAGCCGTCTTGAACGTGCCCACGGGTCGACGAGTCACCTGCTGGCGTTGCTTGAAACCAAAGTGAGAGAGTGTGAAGGGCGAACTTCATCGGGCCGTGGCCAAGAGCGCGCTGTCCTCACCTGAAGAGTATTATCTTACACCGTGCACCTAATTAAAGTATCTGGAATGCTCACCTTTGAGGAAAAACGAACTGGTGCTTGCTTGCTTGTAGGCCGTGGAAACTGGGACAAACTGGGAGAGAGATTTGCGATTAGTTGCGTTCAAGTAGCAATTACATTGAGTAGCCCCGTAAAATACACTAAGTCGATAGGATGGAAGCTTGGGCGAGTTGGTGAACCATACTTGGCGGTGACAGCGCAGCAAAATTAATCTCACACCAGACACTCAGGAAGACAAGCACACGCGCTGAACTTACAACTCTTGTGTATTCGACTGCTTCATTTTTCTCTTCAACGTCTGGCTTGACTTTTCAGAACGTGATAAGTAGAAGAAGTAGCACGAAATACAAAGGAAAATTCTAAAGAGAAGGCAAAAGAACAGTAAAAGAGAAGACAAATGAAGAAACGGAAAAAATATCTAAACGAAACACTTTTCCAAATTGTCCCTCTCCCTCATCGCTATCATTTAGATAGAAATTGGAGCTCTTTGGTCGACAGCGCTACAGAAGGACTACTTACAGACT